GTGGGATGTGTCCCTGGGATGTGTGTGTCCCTCTGGAACAGCTGGGGTGGTGGGATGTGTCCCTGGGATGTGTGTGTCCCTCTGGAACAGCCAGGACAGTGGGATGTGTGTGTCCCTGGGATGTGTGTGTCCCTTGTGGAACAGCCAGGACAGTGGGATGTGTCCCTGGGATGTGTGTGTCCCCTGTGGAACAGCCAGGACAGTGGGATGTGTGTGTCCCTCTGGAACAGCCAGGACAGTGGGATGTGTCCCTGGTATGTGTGTGTCCCCTGGAACAGCCAGGACAGTGGGATGTGTCCCTGGGATGTGTGTGTCCCCTGTGGAACAGCCAGGACAGTGGGATGTGTCCCTGGGATGTGTGTGTCCCTCTGGAACAGCTGGGGTGGTGGGATGTGTCCCTGGGATGTGTGTGTCCCTCTGGAACAGCCAGGACAGTGGGATGTGTCCCTGGGATGTGTGTGTCCCTTGTGGAACAGCCAGGACAGTGGGATGTGTCCCTGGGATGTGTGTGTCCCCTGTGGAACAGCCAGGACAGTGGGATGTGTGTGTCCCTCTGGAACAGCCAGGACAGTGGGATGTGTCTGGCTGTACTGCTGCATGCCGGGGGCTCTCTGGAGCCCTGGAGCTCTGCAGGACAGCGTCCTGTGCTTGCAGCAATTCCAGGGAGGAGTGAGAGGGATTACATGTGCTGCATTAAACCTCTCTGTCAGTCGGTTCTTGCTTGGCCGCCTTGTCCCTGCTCGGGGCAGTTTTGTTGGGATAGAGCTTGCATGGCTGGCCAGACACAGTGCTGTCATCTTCCTCTGTGGAGTGTGGAATGCTTTATCCTCCTTCCCTCTCCTCCTCAGCTCTCATCCCCTTGCTTCCCATCCCTTCCTGTGCCTGTCAGAGCAGGAATACACAGCATATGCTCAGGCTGGTCACGTTTTCCCTGGGCACAGCTCTCCAATCCCTCAGGCGGGCTGGTCTGGGACAGGAGGGCAGGAATGATGGAGCTCCTTAAAACTGGCTGTGGCTGAGTGGGAGTCTGAATTCCCCTGAGCTGCCCCCACCCCTGTGCTCTCCCTGCTCTCCCTCAGGAGGGTGTCCCGGAGGAGACTGACGACTTTGGGGAGTTCCGGATGCGCGTCTCGGACCTGGTGAAAGACCTGATCTTCCTGGTGGGCTCCGTGGAGTGTTTTGCTCAGGTGGGTTTGAGGGAGCGTCGTGAGGTGCAGGCACGTCCCACAGGAGGTCACCGAGCCCTGGTGGCCCTTGGGCTGGGAGGAGGTCACAACCATCTCCTCGTGCACAGGGAAGTGTGTGTGGGAACCTGTCAGGGAGAGCGGGTGTGGGAAAGCAGGAGGTGTGGGAGCAGCAGGAGCGGGTGGGAGGGGGCTGAGGATTTTGGGTTTGGAGGTGAGGGGGTTGAGGACCAGGGGGCTTGGTGGGTGGGTGGGGGGGGCTGTGGAGTGAGGCCACCTTGCAGGGTGGGGTTGGTGGCCAGACTCCCCCGGGTTGGTGGCCTCCCAGGTGACTGCTCCTCCCCACAGCTCTATGCCACCCTGAAGGACGGGAACCCGCCCTGGGAGGTGACGGAAGCCGTGCTCTTCATCATGGCCTCCATAGCCAAGAGCGTCGACCAGTGAGTGCTGACAGCCCACCCGGGCCTGGAGGGGACTGGGGCTGCCTCAGTGGAACAGAGACAGCACAGATATCCCAAGGACATTCCCTTTCCTGGGAGTGTCCCAGGCCGGGTTGGACGGGGTTTGGAGCAACTCGGACTAGTGGAAGGTGTCCCTGCCCATGGCAGGGGGTGAGACTGGATGGGCTCTAAGGTCCTTCCCGACCCAAACCATTCATTGTGGATCCTTGCACATGCAGATCCTTCCACTTCTGGGTAGACTTTTCCTAGATATCTTAATGGAAGGTTAAATCACTGGAAGTGTTTTTCCTCCCCTGTTATTGGAAGCGTTGGACAGGTGACACCTGGGGCAGTGAGTGCAGCAGTCCTGGGCACTGCCAGCAGTGTGACAGCCTGGCTGGCCTTCACTGGGCTGGAAATGCTGTTCCTTCCTTCCCTGGTAGGCTGGGAATGCTGTCCTTCCCTTCCCTGGGCCCTGGCATTGCCATTCCTCCCTTCCCTGGGAGCTGGGGGAGTCACCTCTGTCCCTACACATCACCAGCTCCCCTTATCTGTGTGAAGGCTCATTCTCTCCCATTCCTTGTTCCCGGGAACGCTGCCTTGGAGCACTGGGGACTCTGCTCCCACCAGCGTGTCCCACAAGGCTCCGGTCTGGGATGGCCCCGTCACCCCCTCCCACACTGGAACGGGCAGTTCCCACGGGATTAATGCCCCTTGTCCTCGTGCCCAGCTCTTCTGGAGGAGTTCAGTGTGCCCTGTTTCACTGGCTCCAGCAACCTCCACCCACGTGGCTGTGGCGGCTCCGGGGCCTCATCCGGCCGCCCTTTCCCGCAGGGAGAACAACCCGACGCTGGTGGAGGTGCTGGAGGGGGTGGTGCGGCTGCCCGAGTCGGTGCACACGGCCGTGCGCTACACCAGCATCGAGCTGGTGGGCGAGATGAGCGAGGTGGTGGACAGGAACCCGCAGTTCCTGGGTGAGTGCCCTCACACCCGCCGTGCCCGCCGCCCCCTGACCCCGTGTGCCCATCGGGTACCCATGTGTCTGCACATCCCATGCTCGGGTACCTGATAAAAGGGCTCTGTGACTGCCCCCCTGACCCCCTGTACCCATCAGATACCCGTGTGCCCATCGGGTACCCATGTGTCTGCACATCCCATGCTCGGGTACCTGATAAAAGGGCTCTGTGACTGCCCCCCTGACCCCCTGTACCCATCAGATACCCGTGTGCCCATCGGGTACCCATGTGTCTGCACATCCCATGCTCGGGTACCTGATAAAAGGGCTCTGTGACCTCCCCCCTGACCCCGTGTACCCATCGAGTACCCATGTAACCCATTCCGGGTACCCGTGTCTCCTGCACATCGTGCTGGGTACCAACTGAAGGGGCTGATGTGCCCGCCCCCGCTGACCCCCTGTCCCTGCAGATCCGTGCTCGGAAGTAACCCAATGAAAGGGGCTCTGTGCCCGCCCCCCTGGACCCCCTGTCCCGAAAATCCCCGTGCTCGGTACCTGATGAAGGGGCTGTGTGCCCGCCCCCCTGACCCCCTGTCCCCGCAGATCCCGTGCTCGGGTACCTGATGAAGGGGCTGTGTGACCGGCGCCTGGCGTCAGCTGCTGCCAAGGCCATCCACAACATCTGCTCCGTGTGCCGGGACCACATGGCCCAGCACTTCTCCGGCCTCCTGGAGATCGCCCGCGCCCTCGACTCCTTCGCGCTGTCCCCCGAGGCCGCCGTGGGGCTGCTCAAGGGTGGGTACGGCAGGG